GGTTCGTCGTACTGTATTTTTTTACAAAGATATATTCCATGCGGTGAATATAATAAGACATTAACAATGGCCTAGCTCTATTGCAGCTACATGTATATCCTATAGCCAACAAACCGGATGGTCGACATAGTGAGCAACAATCCATCCACAGATGCAGTGTCACAGTAGCGGCCAGGTTAACTCATGGAATATTGCTGAGTGCCAAGTTAAACAAACAATTACCTTAATACGTGACATGGGTTCGAATTTAAGATTCGCTCCGATTATGTTTCTTTTTTGCCAGCACCGTACCGATAGATGTTACCGTTGTGGTAACATCTGGGACGTCTCTTTGACCTTTAGCCTCTGGCTGACATGTCGCCAAATACTGATCCAAATAGTGTTAAACACAACTCACTCTGCTTAGATAAATTGGCGAATTTACATAGCCCATAACCTAAACTTTACTCCCGTTTGTTCCGGAATAATCTGAAATATTATACTGATGACTTACGGGGTTCAAAACGTTCTGCAATATCAATCATGAAATAAGATCAATCTCATTAAAATCAAATCTAAGTTCTCGCTGCCGCTGTTTAGCGATAGCGAGAACTAAGATCTGATTTTAATGATAATGGATAGTCATATGCTGATTACATGTTAGCAAATACTGAGCTGCACTTCAAATAATAAACGAGAAATAGTTGACCATATGAAACAGGAGTGTCTCCGTAATGGACTTTAACAAGCTAGAGGAAAGTGCACTCAATAAGTGTTTGACTAAGACAGGGTGTACAGCGAAAGAAATACATGTTAGACTGGCCGAAGCGATGGTGACTGACGTCCCCCATTACCCTGCAATTCGATTGACTGGTGAGCTTAAGCGTGGTAGATATTCCCTCGAAGATGACCCATGGCAAGGACGACTGAGAGACTCCCTCGAAGATGACCCATGGCAAGGAAGACAGAGACTCCCTCGAAGATGACCCAGGCCAGGAAGGCTGTGAGACTCCCTCGAAGATGACCCAGGCCAGGAAGACTGAGAGAATCCCTCGAAGATGACCCAGGCCAGGAAGACTGAGAGATTCCCTCGAAGATGACCGAGGCCAGGACGACTGAGAGATTCCCTCGAAGATGACCCAGGCCAGGAAGACTGAGAGATTCCCTCGAAGATGACTCAGACCAGGAAGGCTGAGAGATTCCCTCGAAGATGACCAAGGCCAGGAAGACTGAGAGATTCCCTCGAAGATGACTCAGACCAGGAAGGCTGAGAGACTCCCTCGAAGATGACCCAGGCCAGGAAGGCTGTGAGACTCCCTCGAAGATGACCCAGGCCAGGAAGACTGAGAGATTCCCTCGAAGATGACCCAGGCCAGGAAGACTGAGAGATTCCCTCGAAGATGACCCAGGCCAGGACGACTGAGAGATTCCCTCGAAGATGACCCAGGCCAGGAAGACTGAGAGATTCCCTCGAAGATGACCCAGGCCAGGAAGGCTGAGAGACTCCCTCGAAGATGACCCAGGCCAGGAAGGCTGAGAGACTCCCTCGAAGATGACCCAGGCCAGGAAGGCTGAGAGATTCCATCGAAGATGACCCAGGCCAGGGAGGCTGAGAGATTCCATCGAAGATGACCCAGGCCAGGAAGGCTGAGAGACTCCCTCGAAGATGACCAAGGCCAGGAAGGCTGTGAGACTCCCTCGAAGATGACCCAGGCCAGGAAGGCTGAGAGATTCCCTCGAAGATGACCTAGGCCAGGAAGGCTGTGTTGATAAATCCTGAAAGATGGGAAAGATGATATGAATGATATAGTCCGTGGATTTGGGGCATCAGTGGGTAGCATTGAAAACATATTCATCAGCATCTTGGTATGTATAAGACGTCAGCAAGACGGGTACCCAGGTGCAAGAGCTCCACCATACGGTGGAGGGGAGTCAAGAACTCCTTGAACTCTACAACTCTACAAGAAAGTTTGTATCATATTTGGTAACGGTGACGTTGGTTCATCACCGGGGTCGAGAGATCAAAACTGAATAAGTGCAATGGGAACATCCAACACCTTCTGAACCGAAGCAGTTGCGGACACAACCCTGACCTGGGAACATAATGGCCACAGTATTCAGGGGGCTTAAGGTAGATTATGGTAGACTGTGAGTAACGTAACGAGACAGGCTTGAACGGCAGAAGAGCAGAAACACTGGGGGACTGCTGTCACCTGCCTCGACCAAAAAGGACAGAAGCTCAGCTATCACCTGGCGATGGTGACACGTGGGGTTCTGCTATCGCCATACAAGCCCAGACTTGCAGCGGTTACTATAAGGGCATGCGGCTTTTTCAGTGGTCCATTCATATAATTTCCACAGCTATTTGCCCTTTACGCTAAGGGGAAGATGTTTTGTCAGAACTTCTATGATGGTTATTCACTTGCACTGACAATTGTTCTTTTGGTAGTTTAATCATTCCCTTCAGCACAGTTCTTGCCCCAAATTGAGTCTGTACTGCGGGGGCAATGCCTTGATATGACGCCTGCTTGTTTGAAAAAACCCAACATTTGGGTAATATCAATTTTGAACTCCCCTTGTATTTGAAACTGTTGACACATCGTGATATATAACTGAAACTGTTGACACATCGTGATATAACTGAAACTGTTGACACATCGTGATATAACTGAAACTGTTGACACATCGTGATATAACTGAACTGTTGTATTGGTAACGCCAAATCAATCACTCACATCTCAGGGACGTGCATATGGACTTCCATTAGCTGAGTGGAAATGATACATGACTAGCCTGATCAATAGTAACATGATTCAATAATTCCACGAGGAACAGATCATCCATAATTCCCAGTCCTTATGGCATACACAGCAATGTTTAATAAAGAATGTAGAAAAATGTAGGATATGATTTTCCCCTTGAGATATGAATTTTTGTAAGGTCACATGATGCCACTCAAATTTGACTATTTGTACTTCTGATTTTGTTATCTACGATTATTGTTTGTTTGTTGTTTAATGCCACACTCAACAATATTCCAACTATACCACGACGGACAGTATATAATCGAGACCAGACACTCCTGTGATTGTCATCCACGCATTTGGGATACGATTACATGCATCAACCAAGTCAGCGAGCATGGCCACCCTATTCCGTTAGTCGCCTCTAACGGCAAGCATGGGTTGCTGAAGGTCTATTCTAACTCGGAATCTACGATTATTAATAGAAACGTACAGTAATAATAGCGATCTAAATAGTGCTCCCTACATATCATCAGTTATAGACTGTGTACCAAGAAGTGATAAAATCATCGACCTGAGTTACTTACATAAACTTGATGTTTTGTCAGCAGATGGACCTACGACTATCAGTTGAAACGTAAATAATAGCACTCTAAATAGTGCTTCCTACAATATGATCAGTATATGGACTGTGTAAGGAATAATAAAACCAATGATATGTGTTACGGAAATATAAAGGACGCTAAGAAAAGCATTGCTGAACCGTCCTTGGGAACATCACACCAAATCTATCGTATCCAGTTCTATCCAACAGACTGTTGTAACTCTTCTGTGTCGTCAGTGTCTTTGACGCTACTCGGCAACTCGCGAGACCATGAGAGGTTCTCTAAGTCGAAAGGCGAAAGGTACGAGGACTGTGGGTCCTTCCTAATGACCTAAACAGATATTCATGTACTGTCGCACTACTTTAAGGCACTTCAGACCATCCCTGAACACAGCTAACTGGACACCCCAGGATCATCACGGAATGGACAGCCGGAGGACTGGCAGCCTGGCACAATGTCATTGGGATTGGTTTGCTTTTAAATGTGAGCTCCCGAAGCAGAGACTGACCATAGGACCGAAGTGATAGATACAAATTGCTGTACCTTTTGGTTTACTTTTTTTATTAGGGGCTATTATAAGGGTAACGGGGGCGGTCGGGTAGCCTAGTGGTTAACGCGTTCGCTCGTCACGCCGAAGACCCGGGTTCGATTCCCGACATGGGTACAATGTGTAAAGCCCATTTCTGGTGTCCTTCCGCCGTGATATTGCTGGAATATTGCTAAAAGTGGCGTAAAACCATACTCACTCACTCACTCACTCACTATAAGGGTAACGCTATTTTTCATGGAATGATCATTTGTCGAAGCCCGAGGTCTTCCATTAATTGCCCGACGAAGGAGGACAGTTGAAAAGACCGAGGGCTTCTGCAAATGATAATGCCCTGAACAATAGCGGTACCGTTATTATAACTAAAATAGATCGAATTTGTTATCAAATAAAAATAAACAACAATATCGGTTTTGAAACATTTACTGCAATCAACACGAATGCCACTGACTCACTTTTACAAAGATGGAAACGTCATAGAACAAACCAGATGTAAACTGACGTCCAAAATAAACTTTACCAACTGAAAATATAAATTTCAGACAAAGTATAATTTTTTTGTTTCGATGAAGTCTATCTAAAACACATAACCTTATTACAACAATAGTGTATGCAGAAAATGTTAATCGTCTGTTACATGTCTGCGAGATAACACGCGAAAAAGTGAAAAAACACGTGCATCACGGATAACTGCAAATGCACGTGTGGGTAATGGTATAAAACGATTGCAACGGCAAGTCAGACATCCACAGTGATAAAAAACCACAAAAGAAATGCCACGACTTACAGTGGAACAACGTGAACGAGCCTTGGGTATGGTACAGATGGGAGCCACCCACGCCAATATTGCACGAACCTTCGGTTGATGCAACGTTACAGACAGACAGGGTGGACTGCTGACAGGCCAAGAACAGGCAGACCCAGGGGGACCACGCCGCATGATGACCTGTACTTGCGTACCTTGCACCTCCAAAATCGCTTCCTGGCAGTGAGGTCATCGGCGACAAATGCCTTAGGTCACAGGGTTAGTCGACAGACAGTGGCCAGGAGTCTCAGGGCTCATGGAATCAGGGCTTTTAGACCATACAGAGGACAGCTATTGACAGCGCAACATCGTCGTCTGCG